TCCACTTAGCGGTGCCACTCAGAAAATTGATTGATCTACATATTTCAACAGTGTACGGCCGTTTTATCATCCGTCCTTACGGTGGAAGAATGCAAGATGGAACAACAGAAACGGTTAGCCTATCCTGTGGAACTGGTTTCGCCGCAGGTCTGGTGGCCATCCATGTGACCGGCGTTAGTTGGAGCTCGCCTCTACTTACCTTCACCCGCCCGGCCCACAGTCGGCCTGCCTGTTCAAGGCGTTATTGACGACTGACTGGACGACAGCGCATATTCCTGGCTGCAGACTGGCCTGAGCTCGGGGTCAGATCCTTGGCACGGAAAGACGAACCACCGCCGGCATCGGCGCCGTGTGTTGTGACCTCCAGGGCAGAAGCGACCGCGCTCACCAAAAGAAAAAACGGGACGGATTTAAATGAATAGGTGATTCTGCTGACACATCACACCATCCTGCTGAGCAACTGGTCTGACATGTAAGCTAAATTCGTTACAATTTATGCGAGGTTCAAACGCTTATTCCAGTGAGGTATGTTACCGACCTGCGACATAGGGATTATTTTCGCCGTTCAAGTGTTGGCTGAGCCGGCAAGTCACGTGGATTTCACCCTCCTCATTCGTCATTCAGCATTTGTTTGCAAGCGGTTCATGATAGTCCGAGGTGCATGTTGTCCATGATAATGTGGCTCAGCAGCCTGTTACACACCGGTGGTGAATATCGTACCGGAGACTGAAGGCTGGAGGCCCAGGGCCCACCGGCTGGAGACCCAGGGCCCACCGGCTGGAGACCCGGGGCTCACCGGCTGGAGACACGGGGCTCACCGGCTGGAGACCCGGGGCTCACCGGCTGGAGACCCGGGGCTCACCGGTTGGAGACCCGGGGCTCACCGGCTGGAGACCCGGGGCTCACCGGCTGGAGACCCGGGGCTCACCGGTTGGAGACCCGGGGCTCACCGGCTGGAGACCCGGGGCTCACCGGCTGGAGACCCAGGGCCCACCGGCTGGAGCCCGGGGCTCACCGGCTGGAGAACCGGGGCCCACCGGCTGGAGACCCAGGGCCCACCGGCTGGAGCCCGGGGCTCACCGGCTGGAGACTCGGGAGTGGCCGCTGGATGAATTGTGCATAGCGGGACGAAGAGCGTGCACCTGGAGGTGCGACATAGTGGGCAACACAGAACGCAGCGCCTTGCCTGTTGCCGTCGGAGGCCAGATGGGCACACTAGGCTTTGAATCTGCTTACGTTGGAATCTCAACAGGTATTTGTTTGGCGGAAGAGGCTCGGCCGCGGGCTTCTGTACTAGGTGTTTGATGTTCCCACCGGTTGAGTTGAAAGCAGGGAATCCCTTTAGCCCACGCCACCGGCAGACAATGTGAGATTGGCGCTGTTTGTTTGAGCTGTTTGTGAACAGGCTGTTTGAGATGCTTATTATGCTGAAACTTGGGATGAAACGATGCCAAAGTTGTTTGTTACTTCTTAACGGTCTGGAATTATGGTGCAAGCCCGCGTTGTGTCGGGTTGTTGAAGGTAGGTAAACAAATGGTAGCGAATGTGGCATTTTGTGGTGTAAGACGACATTTCGAAAGGGGCAAGGTGTAACACAGCCAGCTAGATTTTGCCAAATAGTTAGAGAAAGCTGCGTCATATAACAAGCTGCCAAAACGACTTCCAAACTGGACAACTACGCACAAAACATCCATTTACTTGATTTCTACAGCATAGTCAACGCACATTTGCGTTTCTACCCTGGATGTCTTCTCACGAAAACGGTTGCTAGCCGGTATATGACAAAGCAAAATTCTGACGGCATCGCGTCATCTGTGCGTTGTATGCGTATTGACAATGCCTTGCATTAAGAACCTGAGTTGTAGTCAGATCGTCTTTTTATTTTTGTTGGCTGGGAGAGATATGCATGCCAGAGCGTGCGAGTTTTAACCCTTTATCAATGCGGTTTGAAGTTGATTATCATTAGATCGGCTGTGATCGAAGAGTAGAAGGAGGTGAAGATTACTCCAAAGGCTATCATTTAATGAAAACAAGATATTTGACAGGCTATCTATTCACATGAACTACATCCCAGCTAAAAATATTTTCAAACATATCATAAGCCCTTCTGATATCACTGGCCAGCATTTCCTAAATTTTCGCGCTCACAACTATTTGCTCAGCATTGCGCCTTGTTTCGTGACGCATTGCACCAAACCCAGGCTGTGTAAGAAGGTGAAGTGGTTGATTCCCAATAAAGGGCTCGAATTTATACACATAAAACCACCCAGTGGCGTCATTGTGACCCAGCCGCAATGAATCGCAACACAAGACGTAATCTAAACCGAGGAAAATTTGGTCATGACAACTATGCAGGCTCGTAATCTTGACCATTGTACCCAACGTGCCAACATAACTATTTGTGCATTTTGCGATGTGCTTACCACAGCTGCCGAAACAAATAACTGCAAATTCATCCAAGTCGGCTATTGCAACTGGCATGCCCGACATGGCTTGTAGCCAGCGGATTTTCCTGCGATATTGGTTTGTTAATTTGCGCACAGCCTCTAGCCGGCAGTGCACCACTGGCAGCTAAATTCATGAAGGCAGTTGATTCGATGCATTCATATCTAGTATCTGCATGAGTTTCCAAAGTCGATGGGCTCCACTTGCTGATTGTTTTGAATTATCTGCATAGTGATAATGACCACGTCTGTGATTGCCCCGCCTAGCACACGCTATAGAAGGCTACACTGGTGCTTACGCGGGCATTTCGGCGAAGTGGTGCACACTCTGTGCAAGTACAGTTTTTCGCCCACGCATCAGCTGCCTCCAGAATAGCTTAGGACGCGTCTATTCGCGTCGAATGAAGCCTTCATTGAACAGTCAGTGACGCAGAGAGAGCGTGGTGCTCTTTCTAATTGGTTCTTGGAATGGTCCGGAAGTTCAGCTCTACCCGTTCACAGCTCTGGTCGTGATGGCGTTCGACCGCGTTACACCAGCGCGTCTGCGGCGTTTTCACTGCGTTGCATGGCTAGCGTCGCATATGAAGGTGGTGAAGCATCCTGTTCCTGGTTCCAACCTTACCCGCTTTCAGACACGTCGGTCTCGAATGATGCACTAGCAAAACACCGCCGCCTTCCGCGAGTGATATATCAAATTATAAGTCAGATAACATGTCACCAATTGGACGTAAACACGAGCACAGTCGCGGCTCATTGTCACGCGCTCGTAATGGCCATGCACCGCCGTCCTCTGGGTTCATATTCAGCAGCGTTCTGCAGCGCTGCACCTCGCCTGGGGCACATCTCGGCTCCGCTCAGTCGTGTTAGGCAATGTAAATAGGGCGGCCATCGCTTCCACTGTCTCGCCTTCCTTTCCCTGTCTCTTGTAATTGCGCATGAAGTATATATCTTCGGCGGCTGGCAATTATTATTAGGGCTGAGACGCCGTAATGCTGGGTTTCGGCCGGACACGTAGAGATGTTTTACCGACGCCGAGATAACAGGTTTCGTAACGCGGTGATGCTTCTGGCTCTGGGCAGACTGGGATATTGTGTGAATAAATTAGTCCGTTTCCTCTCCTGTGAGTTGACCAGCCGACGTCTGACGTCAGACATGATCGAGGGGTGGTTACCAACGTCCTCTGTTAGCTAAACATGCTGTGATTGGGCATAGGTGCACTTGTGCTCTTTCTTTCAGCTCATCAGACGCGGCGAAACGTGCAAATCTAGCTTGATTGTCCTGTTACTACACAACTCCCTTGGTATTCCACGGAGTCACTGTCCAAGTTAGGCATTGTTTTTGCATGGATAATGTGATTGGTTTGTGAATATGACTGGCATTATTGCGCCCGGAGAGCCACATTCACATTCAGGGGACCCACTCTAATTATACCGAGTGCTACTCCGTTATCATCCACTTTGATTTAGACATGCACGCTTATGCGAAATGATGTGTTTGACGGTTTCTTGAAACGACTTTATATCTGACTTTATAATTTTGCTCGAACATTAACTGGTCCTTGTAATAACTAGAAGATGATACCGGTGCCACGTAAAAAATGTGATATGCGACAATCGCCCGTCGATACTTATGAGACCAAGACTCATTTTCTAGAAACGCTGCTGATTTTGCACTGCCAGTTCTATTCCGACAGTTTTGTACTCAATCAACTTATGGTGGGCGAGGAGCGCAACACATGATCATACCGGTACCTTGCCGGCATCCCTCTGTACAAAATCAGTCAGTTCTCGTGTAGCCTTGCCCGCCAAAAACCATCCCCTCACGCCCAGCAGGCTGCCTGTGACGCAGTTACCAGCACGCTCAGCAGGCTGCCTGTGACGCAGTTACCAGCACGCTCAGCAGGCTGCCTGTGACGCAGTCACCAGCACGCTCAGCAGGCTGCCTGTGACGCAGTCACCAGCACGCTCAGCAGGCTGCCTGTGACGCAGTTACCAGCACGCTCAGCAGGCTGCCTGTGACGCAGTCGCTGGCACGCTCAGCCCTGGGAGCGTTAGCCCGCTTCGAGAGAGGTCAACATGTTGTATTTATATTTAGGAGCGAAACTCACTCGTTCCTGGTCGCCCTTACTCAATACGAAACACCATACACACACAAAATAGTACCGCTAAAATAATTCCAATTTAACGAGCGGCCAGATGACGTGTCATCAGCTGGCGATCGAGAGCCTGTGGGCTGGTCAGAGGGTCAGGACTGCAGTGCGCTGGTGGCGGGGTGAGACGATTATTCTGACGTCGCGGCTACATAATGATTGGGATAATGGTCAAACCGTCGCTTGATCCAGATTTGGCAGCGATGCTATTTCTAAGGAGACCAACATCTAGCTTCTTTGCTTCAGCAGCTTCCAAGTAAAACATGACTGACGGGTACTAAATGTCAAAACTGGCCCATTAAACAGCCACTCGTGCCTTGCATCATGTCCACAAGACATGACACGCGTGACCCGTTGAGCCGGGCGTAACCGGCGGCCGGCTGACACAATGCCTCGGGCGCCTGCAGATGTGAGCGCGGCGTCCGGCACTGCCGACGTGCGCACCGGCACGCCCTCCGTCGGCCTGCGAGTGGTGGTGCCAGTGCTGGCCGGCTTGCTCAGCCTGCTGATGATCACCTCCGCCGGCTACCTCTGCGTCAGGAGACGTGAGTTGCGCAGCCTGCTACCTCTGCGTCGGGAGACGTGAGTTGCACGGTCTGCTACCTCCGCGTCAGGAGACGTGAGTTGCACGGTCTGCTACCCCTGCGTCACGAGACGTGAGTTGTACAGTCTGCTACATCTACGTCGGGAGACGTGAGTTGCACGGTCTGTTACCTCTGCGTCAGGAGACGTGAGTTGCGCAGCCTGCTACCTCTGCGTCAGGAGACGTGAGTTGCACAGTCGGCTACATCTGCGACAGTTGTTCCGTCCGCGTCCTCTGCGTCAGAAGATGCGAGTTACCTGGCCTGCCATCTGAGTGTCCCAGGTCAGGGACGCTACTCGTGAGTCAGGGGATGTGATTTGGACGGCATGGCTGTGTTGAGCGAGGCGAGTTGCCCAGTTTGCCATCACTGCATGAGGAGCATCTGTTCCGTATATCCAGGTTCGCTTTACCTGCATCAAAGGACGTGAGCTCTCTGGCGTGCTACTGTCGAGTCAAGAGACGTCACATGTTTGGTTTACGACCTTAGCGTCGGAAGACGTGAGGCTGCTGGTGTGCCACCTCTAAGTCCGGAGACGTAAGTTGCGTATGTTTTACCTTTGCACCAGGAAGCATTCGTTGCGTGTGGAGCTACCTGTTCTTTTTCCGGTTTGTGTGTGTGTTGTATGGTGGCAGCGGCAGCCGGTGGAGTGAAGGCAGCACCTGTGCGGCACCGGGGCTGTGAGGTGCTGGAGTGAACCCTTCACCGCCGCTGCCGCCGCCGCCGCCGCAACTCATTTCTGCTTGAAACAGACGCGAGGTCACGCTTCCGGGTGACTTGCGTTTGGCATAGCAACGCGCCGGGTCATGGTTCAGGTCGTTTAGTCGCCGGCTAGGTATTATGCTAGTCACGAGCGATGGTTACCGAAATGGGTGTTCGTTGCTGCTTACGCAATGTGAATTGGGGTCGATAGGAGGATAGGGGCGTGAGGTTATTGCTAGGTGAGAGCGTTTGTGCGCCCAGAAAGAAATTATCGGATTCCTTCCCATTCGCTCTTTGACACCTACCCGGTTTGGTTACGAAATGGCCACAGAAGGTCTGTTCTCAGTGTTCATAGGTGGAACTGACTAATTTCTCACACTTGATTTCATACACTTGACTGGCGGTAATCGGCGGGCCAAAAATTGGGGAGTCCCGCGCTGCGTGAAATCGAAGGCCTTTAAAGGCTGCTTTGTGGCCTTTAAAGGAGCTGACAATCATCATCACGTCACTCCTGCCTTTAGGACGGCGGAAGACGCCATTGTATCTGCCGGAGCCCCCTGGGTACGACGAAAGGAGCAGCGACTACAGCAAGACAATGGAGCCTCGTCTGCCGCGCCAGTCACCTCCGCCGCCCAGTCTCCTCCGGGGCTCAGGTCGGTCGCTGCCGCCTCCGCCGCCCAGTCTGCTCCGGGGCTCAGGTCGGTCGCTGCCGCCTCCGCCGCCCAGTCTGCTCCGGGGCTCAGGTCGGTCGCTGCCGCCTCCGCCGCCCAGTCTCCTCCGGGGCTCAGGTCGGTCGCTGCCGCATTGTGATTCGAGCGCGAGAGTTACGCGGCATGCCTGTCTGGCTCGCTGACGCGGCTACGCGTCGCCCGAGCCTCATTCGGGGCAAAGTTTTGGTAACTTTCTCTCTCCTTGAAGTCCCTTGCGACACACGCTGGAGGGCGGTGCTTGGAATTTCAGAGCCCGTTGTTGGATCACGTCTTTTTGGGCTGCGGGTGGGATCGATGATCGGCACCCCCCTGCCGAAGTAGAAGTTATGGCCTACCCCTCAGCGAACTAGAGCTATGCGGTGGACGTTTTTTTACAAAACAGAACGCATCGCTGCATAAACGTTCTGCAATTACGCTACGAAAGACCACCCGCATCAGGTACGCCCCACTACGGGTACCTTTGAATTGGCGGAGTATGTTTCGGAGCACCGACAGCGGTCGCTGCTACAAAGTCAAAATGCACCGGAGCATTGCAGATCTTTTGAGAGCTAAGGAGAGCTCCAGAGAATAAGCCCAATTCGAGGAGTTGCACTTGCGTTCTCTGAGCAGCTCTTAAGCCGGTTCACGAACAGCGTCTGGTGGTTTTAAGGCTAAGGATGTCGGACCAGAACACACCACGGCATTCATGAAGCCTTCATGAGTAGAGCGTATGCCTTTTCGTAATGGCCCGCACCATCTGTCCTTACATTTATTTTTCAGCTATGGCGGCGTTCAGTTCAGATGTGAGGGCACAATTTGAACCATGAACCAGGAACCACATGCAACGGGTGATGTGGCGCCGGGTCCGCTGAGGATAGCTCACTTGTTAAGGCCACCCCCGGAAGCGTCTGGTAGTCATGACACGTCCACCGATGCGGATGGACGGGTTGAATGCCAACTCTGAATTGGCGTATCTGCGACCACGAAAAAATGGCATAAAACATGGACCTTAAATATGACATGGTGGTTGGCACATTCATTGAAACCCATGTCTTGCAAACAGATTTGCTCACAAGTCACGTGGGTTCATTGGAAGGTGACATGATCCCTGAAGACGTTCAAATCTTTACGCCTTTTGCCTGTGTTTTATTTTTGTAATGGCAGTCAGTGCGCAGGTGGGAGAGGAGCATAGGAGCCACGTGCCCCTCCCTCCCTTAGATTTCGAAAAGGGGCCCTTGGGCCACAACCCCGAATCTCAGAGGGTCCTCAACGTTGGTCGGGACCCTCTGACACTGAAATGAGATGATAGCCTATGACGAGAGTCGACAGTGTGACAACGGAAGAGCCTTGTGCTAGTCAGGGCCCCAATACTCGATGCGAGCCATCCGCCCATTTCAGCCAAAGTCCCGTTAAGCCAAACTGGGGCATTCGTGCCAATTATTGGACCCCTGCGGCGACAGAAAAATGCTTTGCGTCATTGAGGGCACCTGCGTTTATTAAGGGTAAATTTCCCGGGTCAGAGGGCCTCCCGCGTCAGGGAGGGGACGAATGCTTGATGTGTGCATCTGAGGGCCTCCAGATCGACCAGGGATCCCGCCCCCTTGTAATACCCCGCATTGGGATGGAATGGCCTTGCAGCCTCTGAGCTGAAACGATAAAGTGCCCCTAGTGTTCTGCCCAAAGAGCATCCGCCCCTTAAAAAGGTAAGGGGTTCATAAGTTTTCAAAAGAGTAGATCAAAGTGAGGTTCAAGTAAAAAAGTGGCCTATGTTTGCCTGAATACGTTTATCCTTTGGTAGCATCGACTGGCGAAACAAAGGACAAACATTTTTTGATCCTGCGTGCTCGCAATCTGAAGAGCTAAGTGACCAATGTTCAGCAATGCGGTTTCCGTTAAACCAATCGGCGTTGGCTACATACACTACCAGGCAGCGCGCGATAACGACCGTCGTAAAATAATGCTTTCGAAGATTTCCCAGTCAATTCATACCATTCAAAGATTACACTGGGACGCAAACATTATCGGTAACACTTAAGGATGTCCTCTGAACGGATGGACAATCACAGCAACACAAACTCTAGAAATCCTACCTTTACCCCTCCAGTTCCACAACCAGATTAAAAAATAATTCGCGCCGCCGTAAATGTTAATCTTTTCCTTTTATCAATCAAAAAATTTCTCGCGGGTGACATATACGCCCGGACTACCTTTTAAACGCGCGACTTGATTCCCAGAAGCATTCAAAGGTGCTTCTTCCCGATGCATCATCATTTTCGTGCGCCCGTTGACTGCTGCTAATGTCATGCGGCCTATGGAAATAGTCCATTGAGCCGTTGTAAAATGTCGAGCGACGGTAGTTTATTCCGTCCAGCCATCTTTCCATCCACTCATTTACAGCCGGCAGTCTTCAGTTTATTGACTTCCAAATGCAAACACAATGCATCTTCCGGTAGCGCATGGCGATGTTCCAGTTAAAGGAGGCAAAAATGCAAATAATACGACGAAATTTTGCATTCTCGAAATCGAATAACCTATATCCGGTAACCTTTTCAGCGAGGGGTCGTTTCACCATTGGAGGGCCCTTTGTCTTAGTTGGAGAGGTACCTTTCTCGATCCGTAAACTTGCAACTTTTCTACTAGGCATTCTCATGCAAGAAATTTGGCCTGACCGCGAAAGCCGTCGGTCGGCCTGAACGGCTACAACAGTGATAGCTACGTGGTATTATTCATTACACACCAGGCTATCCACTGGTTTTGATTTGACACTAGCTGTATTAGACATCAAATGGCGCCATACCAGGAGTGTTGCCTACCATTCCGCTCCCTTGGAGCGAATGAAAATGAGTAGCTCATGCCTAGCGAGGGTCAATGTATCAGTTATGTCCTCGCAAGGTAGGTTTGCCGGCTCTCACTGGTACAAAGGTGTCATTGAGCCCCTTGGACCTTTGAGTACATCGAGTCATGGTTCCTTTAAACTACATTATTATAGATAGCTAGCAGGTCAATCCGAACTGACCACTGTCGCTTTTCTGAGTCTGGGGCCGCTTCGGTGCACCGCAGACATTAGTCCACGACAGCCGGTACCCACCTGAGCGTAGATGCCACTCCGGCCCGCCTGATCCAGGCGCCGCTGACAGCGGGCGCCACTCGGGCCCGCTCGAGTCAGGCACCGCAGACAGCGGGCACCACTCCGGTCCGCTCGAGCCGGACGCTGTTGACAGCGGGTGCCACTCCGGTCCGCCCGAGCCGGACGCTGTTGACAGCGGGTGCCACTCCGACCCGCCTGATACAGGCGCCATTGACAGCGGGCGCCACTCCAACCCGCTCGAACCGGGCGCCGTTGACAGCGGACACCACTTCGGCCCGCTCCAGCCGGACGCCGCTGACAGCGGGCGCCACTCCGGCCGCCTGATCCAGGCGCCGCTGACAGCGAGCGCCACTCGGGCCCGCTCGAGCCTGGCACCGTTCTCGCCCCGGATCACGTCTCCCGGACGGCGCGCGATCTAATTGCTTCCGACGTGCCTGATGCCACCTGCCCGGTCGTGCCTGACGTCACCGTCTAACGAGCAGTGACGTCACGTGGCCGGGTCCGTGACGTGACGGATGGACACAGCGCACAGTCGGGCGGCCGATGGTGGGGCGCCGCCCGCCCCGGCCGGTTTTTCGGCCGGCGCGGTCCGATTGGCCGGCGGCCGGAGATGCGAGCGGTTACGCCAAGTCGAGCCAGGCCGCCCCGGTCGGCGGCCGCGTGCCGACCCGGCCGCCGCCGCCGCTGCCGCAAGGTCGTCCAACCACACGGGAGGGCCGTTTTTAGTCGGCCGGGCGGCCGGTCCGGTCCGGCTCGGCTACCGGGCTTTATGGCAGCTGACCGACATTCTCCACCGTGAACTTCTAGCGGAGACTGTCGCTTGGTCAGATTACGAGCGTGTCACGGGATGAGACATTCCCTAGCTCCTGACCGAGCGGGAGGGTTCCGGTAGGTAAGGCCGGCGTAGCACTGCCATCATTCGGCTCGTCCATCCATACAGAGCGGCCGTTTGCCCGTGCGCCCCAGGACCTGGCTGTCAATGACTGACAGGGCTACTTGAACAGCCTTGCTGCCGTCACAGCTCTCCGGGACGGGCGCAGCGAGCGATATGGAAAGCTGTATTGGATGCTCCGAGAATCAGCTCGACGCAAAGGCGGCTCGATGTTTGCGTTCCGGAATCTGCATTTTATAACACAGGGCCGGCGCATCGCACTGACCTCTGCCCCTGACTCCTCTCTGCCCTTTCTTCTTGAGTTCTTGATTTCTTGCTCTTGATTTTCCTTGATTCAATTCAATCAAATTCAATCAAAATAAAAAAATCAAATTCAATCAAATTTTTGAGATCCGTCTATGCCCCGGGATCGTCACGTCCCGGCGACATCTGCCGCAGTGTTGCTGTCCAGCATCCGCTTTGACCCAACGCTGATTATTTTGATAAGGGTCGGATCGGATCGCTTCGATGGCGCCATGAGGTACGATCACACCTTGGGAACGGCGTATGGTGACGTCCAGTGGCGGGCCGCGTGAGCAGGTCACGAGGACGGGTTGAGCGAAGGTCGGGTAAGTCCTCTTAGAACATGAAAGGGCGGGCGTGATTTGCACCTCCTGTCATTCCACGCAGCGCCATAGGGTAAACATAAGTTAACTGTTTTTCGGAGACGGGGGCCGACCCCACTGCCCATTCCCCCTCCCCATCCATCGCTTATGCTGCCGCTGGTTGATCGAATGGAGGTTGAGTAAACAGGTCAGAGAAATTCTTGAGATGCACAGATGAGGCATGTAACAGGCAACACTGTGAGTGACAGCTGGGAGCCATGGACACCGCGACAGTGGCATGACATGCTGCATCGGTGATTAAGGTGCGAATCACACCCTTTGCAGTCCAGTCAGCTTTACAGGCGTGTCTTTTACCTTACAGGATGTGAATTTGAGGCATTGGGTGTCAGCGGGATCAGATATAGCTCAGCAATATGGTCTGATAGTGAGATAAGTCAGGTGTGTCTCCGAGTGCACAAAGTCTCACTGAAATAATTCTAACTTTTAAGTTAAAGTAATTTGTCGAGTCAACTTTTCTTAATCTTCCCACGTGCTGTGCTGCAGCGCTCCCCGTGGCGGCTGTCGTGCGCCACGTGCGCTCATTCTGTTCGGTGTGTTGGCAGGCGGCGTGACGGACGTGTGTCCGTACGCCACGTGTGGCGGCTGTCGTGCGCCACGTGCGCTCATTCTGTTCGGTGTGTTGGCAGGCGGCGTGACGGACGTGTGCCCGTACGCCACGTTCTACCCGCGCGGTCCGGAGCGGTCGTCGCCGGGGGTGGGCGGCGCCGGACACTACGCCGCGCTGCTGCCGCTGGAGGCGGCGCCCCGGCCCGACAAGGAGGGCCGGTACGCCGACCCGCGCCACCACGTCAGCACACTGCCAGCTCGCCGGGGGCAAGGTAGGCAGGCTGTGGCTGGCCGCTGGGGCTGGCCAGAACAACAGGAACCTCATACGTGCTCATTGGCGTCAGAGGACGCAAGGAGAATGTCAGCGAAACGAAATATCACAAGAATTAAACGATCACAAGCTGATGACATCACGAGATCACAAATGATCCATTGTGCGGCCAAGTGTTCATCGTCATTTTTTAAATGGTCTTGTATTGTGGCGGGAATTACTGCGGGCTACGTCGGGAAGCTCTTTGTTTTGATGTTACGTTTTTTGTTCTTGCGGCCTCCTTTTTCAATGTCCTGGTAGGGAATTAGGGTACGACGCATGTTCTCACAATGTTCAGTTAACCACAACCACTATTCTGGCTGCATGATTTGCCTAGTTCTTTTTTAAAATGTTTACTCTTGCAGTCGGAATGTTCGTAATCGCTTTAACAAGCAATGCATGTTCATGGCATCCACAAGTGGTGTACTTTCATCATCACAACGCCGTTAACGTTGACACAACGCCGTTGCGCTGTAATCCTTCGTTTCGCTCGCGGTCTCTTTGCGTCCTTTAATTCCTCACGTCCCTCGCCGACTCTTCCTGTTCTCGCTTCAAGTCACGTTGGAACAGTCTTGTTTGTGTCTTGATTACTGATGCATACAGGCAAATGAAAGCGACCGCGAATGCTGTCCGGTCCGTAATGCCCTGCGGCGATAATCGAAAGTGAACCTTGGCGGTGGGACTGGCGTGGGAGGGCCGGTGTAAGTCATCACCACAGTGGTGTTGGAAACGAGGCGTGGGGGGGGGGGGCTGGGGGGTGGGGGAGTCTTAGAGTGGCAGGCGAGATTCGAGCCAGTGGGGATGTTTGGGTCTCCGTCAAGGCCAACTGCGGCATGAGCCGGTGCCTCTTCCCTGATACCTATCACCTACCTACCTTACTTCATACCTCTACCTTCCTGCCTACCTTCAGGCCGATCATTCTTTTCGTTACGAAAAGTTGGCGGTCCCTGGAGACTGACGTTATCTGCCCTCAGGGTGGTTCGATTGCCTTTGTCACCTGCATGCTGATATCATTGTTCCGCCGCCCTTCACATCGTCAGTGCCTTCCCAAGCTCGCGGAGAGAGCGGCTCAGCGAACCCTCTGCTCATGCCGGGGGGACAAGCACCTCTTCCTCTCTTCCCAGCGCGGTGACCGGTTTCGTCTTTCCGCAGAGACCGCGCTTGTCACCTTAATTGACCTCATTCTTTCTGGCGTCGAGTGCAAAAGACTCGGTACCCTCTTCTGCCTGCTTAATTTGTTCAAATGCGTTTTTTCGCATTTGAACGCATTTGAAGCTCCTCAAAGCCCTCAACCTACTCTGTCCACCCAACCGGATTCTTTCTTCCGGTGGTGGCCATACTCGGTCTGTTTTGTTTACAGCTGGTAGGTGTGGTAATCGGTACCTATCCAGAACCCGACATAATCACATCGTTGCCTTCCAATGTGGGGTCGACCCCACGATGATCGAGATATTTGTCAGTGGTTTTTCCCTCCACGCTCCTGATGCTGACGTGATCCAGCATGCTGAGGACATCCATATTTCGGCAAAAACGGCGCTCTCCCTCGGCTCATTCCTACCATAAAACAGCTCTAAGCCCTCGAGACGCCCAGTTTCACTCTCGTGGTTTGAAAGTCAATGGAAAGAGCACTGTGCTTATTGTCCCCGGCTCCCATCAAAATTGGCTCGGTGTGGCCCTATCTCTATTCTGTTTCGTAAAAAAGGAAACAGAGCGTGAGGCAGCGAAAACTTTTTCAGTTGAAATATTAACCATTAAATGACGTTGGCAATGATATTGGTCCGCTTTTCAGCAGTGCTGACCTGCGACCTCTTAATATTTTAACCGGTTCATTTATCGAAAGGTGCGTCGGTATCCTCATTGGACTGGACCACGTGCGCCGTCCGATCTTCCCGCCTTTTTCCTATTCTTGGCATTGCCTTGTTCATCTCGCATATCCCTTACTGTTTGTGCATGTGTCTGCTTGTGACCATGCGCTCTCATTTCTTTTTTGTTTTTGTTTTTTGTTTTGTTTTTTGTTGTTGCTGAGTGTTGTCTTGAGTTGTCTTTCTTTTACCTGTGACTTAACATTCAAAGTAACTGTCTAATGATTTTTGCTATCGATGCATTACATGCATACCTACTACACAGGTGTTACACATGCATGCACATGCGTAACATTTAGGACACATGCACACACGCAGAAGTTTGTGTGAGCTTCCAAACGGCGCAAGATATGCGGCCACCCGGGAACTATAGCCGGGTACGCATTGTCTACGCACACATAAATATCGCCGGCCCCGTAGCCACGGAGCCAGCTATTCTCGACCATGCGGACAGAGACGTGAGCAATTCGGATGGGATCAAATCAGCGGTGCAGAGTTCTACTTGTAACATGCATCTAAAAATTATGTGTAGATGATACGTACATGCCAGCTGAGAACGTGTGGATAGCGCCCATATTGTTGGTGGTTCATCTGGTCAGCCAAGATTTACGGCCTAATTTGGCCTGTCGAAAATCACGACAGCTTTCATTTTGACGCCACAGGAAAGGAGTGACATTCATCTTGACGCCAGAGGAAAGGGGTGACAATCGCATTGATATTTAAAGAAATGTAGCCTCATTCAGCGATACTAGGCATAATATCAGACATGGAGTTTTGGAAAGTTAGGAGAACTAGCCCCGTTTCTCCTTGCCTTGGTCGAGCCCATGTCAACACGCCGCGGTGTTAATTCAGGCGCCCGCGGCGTGATTTGGCCACTTCACTCCATAGTTGGCGCCGCTCCTGCAGCGCCCCCCAGCTGACGCTCTGTCGTGCACAGCTGGGGGCGCGCCGGCCACGCCTTCACCGCGCCGTTTACGCCGGCGCCGCCGCGTCGTTTCCGCCGGCGCCGCGTCGCGTCGCCGATTGATTGCGGACGCGGTCTCCTAGCGGCTGACCGGCTGCCGGCCGACGTTACGTCACGGGGCGGGGCGAGTGACGCTTGCGACACGAGCGGCGCGCGACGGCGTCGATGATTCGGCGCTTCTGGACAGAATGGGCCGCCGCCCCGGGTGGGAACGGTCCGGCTGGGATGAGACGCCGCTCACCGGACGGCCGGGGCGGAGGGGTGCGCTCCGGGGCGGAGGCACCATCGAGGAATGCCGCCGCGTCTTGCCGCAACCGCTGGCGGGAGCGTGAGATGGGCCTTACTCGCCCGCGCGTGGCCCTCCGTGGGATGGGGACCGGCACCGGCTGGTGGAACGCAAGCGGACGTATGTGAGCTATGCTGGAGTGACAACCGTGTCATTGTTCACGAGGTACATCCAGTAGGGTTCGGGTGCGGGTCGATAGAGGCGGCACAAGCAAGAGGAAACAGCTTAGTAAAATTTGATAGTCCAGTTTAAGTTGAAAGATGCTTTTCAGAAAGAGCAAATCGTACTGCATGCTTCATGGTGCTAGGGATGGGATTTTGAAATAAATCAAAAGGATGTTGGAAGAAAAAGAAGCCGTTTGCCCGGAGAATGTGTGATAAGCCAAATTATAGCCTTGTGCTGCACTCGATCGACTCACAATGTATGGGAATTAGCCGCGCCCATCCGGACCACGCTACAATATTGTAAAACCGATCTCACGTTTGCAAAATACTCTGCCATCACTGCGCTTCGGTTGTTATTTTGACGTGCTAGTACCGACTTGGAAGGTTAGAGTAAGGAAACCAAGTGTTCGATTGCCTTTACTGAACGTGTCAGAGACATGTGACACGAAGGTTATTTTGGTATCCTGCGTTGCCCCAGGGTCTCGAAGTTTACACACATGTTCAAACCCATTTCTATTGATTAAATACTCGGTATGGACGGGAGCATATCTGAGGGTCGTCGTGGATGTTTTACAGTTTACAGGGCTGAGGCTCAGCCCCCATCTGATCGATCACGCCACCAGTTGATCGAGATCAATCTACAGCAGCAGGCCATCAGACGGGGACGTACTTTTGCGGGTAATTTTAACGTCAGAGGCATGTAAAATAGAGCCAGATGCAATGGCGCACTAAAGATCGTTAATCAACAATGAAAAAGGAGGGGGTCAAGGGTGATCCTTGCGGCACGTCGGAGGCCACCAGTTTCCAATCGGAATTTTTTTCCGTTGGCGATAACTCTCTGGCGCCTGCCGGACAGACACAAGACACACCACTGATGTGCACGGTACCTCAGATGGTATGAGTGTCTTAGCTTGTGCATTGGGAACTTATGGTTAACGCCCTGAAAAGCAGCCGAATAATCAGTGTAAATAACATCCGTCTTGTATCCGTCCGACATGGCCTCCCAGGCCGACTTCAGGTAAACACATAACTTCGTGCTGCACGAACGCCTAGGAATGAAACCATGCGAATGATGAAACCATGCAGCTCCACCCTCATCAACTTATATGCCCACTTATTCTCCGCATCGCTTGTAGAGGCCGTTGTCAGCAACCACATCTGGAGGCCGCGCCCTAACCACAGCGCAGAGCCGTCACTCCTGCCATCCGGCTGTCAGTGTTCCTGGGCGACCCCAGCCCGCCCTCATAAGTAACACATCACAATTTACCTGACCACCCCGCTCGCCGCCTGACGCGCCTGAGCGACGCATTAAGCCCAGATAGACCCAGCCCGGTGCGGTCCGGAGGGCGACTGCCTACACACGAGCTACCGACGGGCGCCCGTGCCCTGATTCGGACCGCCCGTTCCAGGTCAGGTCAGGAGCGGTTAGTACAGATCGGCGGGCGCGCGTGGCCTGATTTGGACCGCCCGCTCCAGGTCAGGTCACGAGCGGCCAATACGGGGGGACGGGCGCGCGTGCCCTGATCCGGACCGCCCGCTCCAGGTCAGGTCACGAGCGGCCAATACGGGCCGACGGGCGCGCGTGCCCTGGTTCAGACCGCCCGCTCCAGGTCGGGTCAGGAGCGAGCAATACAGGCCGGTGGGCGCCCGTGCCGCCCGCCGCGGCACGTCTGCGATGGACAGGCGCAATCGGCCGTGGAGCCGACCGCCGCCGACGCGTATTGATAGAGCCGTGTGAAGCAACGGCGGCCTTTTTCTGACGCGCGGCTGGCAGGCGGGTCACATACCGAGCGTCACGCCAAGAGACTCATGGGAGGTCTCAGCGGAGCGCTCGGGTTCTCAGAGATCGACGACAGGACTCTTCCAAGCTTGTCGATGGTATCCGACGTGGATGACCTCGAACGCGTCTTTTCAGAAAGTTGCTTGGAGGTGGAACACATTGCGTTGTACTGCTCTTTCACTTATATCTGGCCTTTGATTTGCATAAGAACGTAAGAGTCAATATTCAGCTAGGCCGGGCGCCAGGCACGTCAATATTCAGGCCCTACGCCGTTATATTATCATGAATGAGGTACGACGTGCCTAAGAAACGTAATCAAATTCTCCTGTTGATAGAATAGTCATTTCGTCGGGATTGTCGTGAATCTGTGACCTTTTTTGAGTCTGGGCCATCGCTGAAGTAGCCATGGTCGTGACTTGATTATCCTGATATGATTGTATGCGCGTTCGTAATAGCTTAAGCCATGCAAGTACCATCTAGCGGTCGAGTAGAATATGCGTTCAGACCTGTGACAGACTGGTGTGTTTGAAAAAAAGTTTTTTTTTTGCTTTTTCGGGCAACATTTTCGTACACATGGCCCCCAAACTCGCCACTCAGGACGATGTCGTGAGTTCATAGATCACACGCATTATAATTGGAATGCAAAGCACTAATATACGGAGGTAGTCCGACTTCCCGTGTGGAAATTTTCATGAGTTTGGGGCTTCTCTAGCGTTTTGTTAACTTTGATGTGGCACTTACGGTACGGTGCAAAATGTTAACCTCAAATTCGATTCGACCCACTTTTTTCATCTTACATCTACCTTACTATCTACTACCTTACATCAACGCCTGAGATTTGTAGGTTTACAGAGCATCTCCCGGTTTCTCGTTTACGAGAAAACGGGACAACAAAATTCCGAGCGGACCACCAACACGAGCGTCAAGTTACTCGAAGAACATCATGAGTTTCATGACTGAAGCTAGCTATGTTGCTTGCTGACACTCTGTGCGACACTCAAGCTGTGTCTGTCCCAGTTTCAGCGGGGCCGCAGTTTGCCGGCCAGTGACGAGTACGACTCGCCCGAGGTCGAATCCGACTCGGCCAGCGACCCGGGACTGGTGCGGTCCTCGTCCCTGCACCGCGGCCAGCGCTCCTTCCACAGAGGTAACCGCCGACGCCGTGCGAGCGAGCTCCGCAAGAAGTCGGCCGGCCATGTCGCCCCGTCCCCGGCCGCTGCTCCACAACTGACATGAATGCGGCCCGCGCTTCTCAAGCCGCTTGGAACGATCGCCATTTGTTTGCTCGTTTTGTCCGCATTCCGCCGCGTCTGTGCGCCGGCCGGTGCCCGCGGCTCGCTGCATGCCTGCTGGCAGCAGAGGTTTCGCCATGTCTGAAAGTGCGCTGCGCCCGGCTAGATGTGCGCACTCTGAACGGGATGGCCTTTCGAACGGCCGACGAAATCGTCCAGGTAGCGACGGACGCCCTGTGCCGATCACCACGTGAAAGTCACGGAGTTAAATGAGACAGGGTTGAGAGCACCCGGCCGGTCGGGCATGCGCCACCACAATGGTCCAGTTTTTGTCGGGGATTGCTCGGTTTACGACATTATGACTGTGAGGTTATTAACTGGCTCGCCGGCTTGGGGGTGAGCGCAGATGCTGTACGACTGGCTGCTATGCGTCTGTTTTTATTCTCGCAAGGCAGTAAAAGATGCCCGGACTGACGGTTGTAGAAATACCGCAGTGCGGCACCTGTTGCAGCATCACCAAGTAAATCTGAGTGCGTTTTAACTACCACCGATCGCTATAAGGTATTATTAAGTTAATGACTTGTCATGAAAGCGTCCAAACGCTCATGTATGTGGGTACACATTACAGTGCCTAGTAATTGTGTCAAAAAGCGATTAGCCCATTCCTTACAGCGTTATTGTCCACTGGGTTTGAAATATGATGATGTTTATTAAAGTGATCACGAATAGGACGGGTTGTGTACCGAGTACATTTGTTTTTGGGCATATGGCCTTTTCCGTGTTTCGAAATGGTGTGGCAAGTCAGGAGAAGTTGTGGAACACCTCGAACAAATTGATTCCTTAGTTAAGGATCGGCTGAAAGATCACACATGAGCTCTGTATTATACCAACAGTTACGAAATTTTACGTTCGAATTTTAACCTAAAAGGGTGCAAACCACACCCTTTCCATATATACAAGACGTTTCATTTGTAAATGGACCACAAGCATTTAACTCATTATGTCTTCCTGCACTAACAAGCACAAAGTCGTCAGGACAACGCTGCACCATAGCTAATTACCCATAACTTATAAAACAATGCACGATTCTATGCTTACGATACTCGCACGGCAAAGCTCGAGAGGCTTTTCCAGAAGATAGCTGGATTTTGCCGCTGCTAATGCTTGGATTGGCTGCTTTCGGAATTCCGGCAGAGTCTCTGACATCCGTTGCAGACACCGCAACCTCCGTGGCTAAGATAGAGGGCATTGAAGCGATATTGCAGGGGAACTGTGTGATACCCATGATACTTTCTTTTTGCTCTGATGGAGCTGAGTATTGTTCCTACCTGCTGGTAAGTTGATGGTCGTTTAAATTGCCGCGGTTATTAAAATGTCAGTTTTACGCAGATGTGATGCTGGTCAGTTTGCGGAACATCAATCCAGGCATGTGGTCAGGAAGTCCCCTCGGGAGAAGGAAAATGTTCCCCGAACAACTGCAAACGTAGACAGACTTCTTGCGCCCAGGATCTACTGTAAGCCTTTTGGCCCAGGGAAGGGGGTGGGGGGTCCAGATCCCCTTCGCCACGTCCATGTACTACTGTGGTGTCTGTGGAGAATCTGCCACGTGTCAGGGAATGCCTGAGTCCTGATTTGCGATGGCATCTGTAGGGCTTCAGTCTGGGAAAGTTTGCAGAACCCCTGAACAATTTGTACATATTGGTTAGACACAAGTTGCTTTTGAAGCTGCTTTAAAGGTTCCATTACGAAACCGCATAGTGAATAGACAATGTCACAGCTTACAAATATAACTCTGCCAATTGTCTTCTTAACCTGGCTTCACTTGTTATCTATTTCACAAAGGTGACACAAACTGAGCGACTGCCTGATAAGTGAAACAAGCAGGCATGTAAATGTATCGATATATTTTGACAAACTGACGGCAGAGCAGCGTCATTTTAGGCCTCCGGGGCGCAATGTATCCACAAAGTAAAGGGCACCCTAAACATGCACGAATGTACTTCTCGGCCACCAGTTCGCTGCCATGTCGCAGCAGTATGTCTTGCGTCGGCGACCGCCAAAGTCAGTATTATGTGCGGCTATTATTCGCGGTGCTGGCGGTCGACAACACAAACCTGAAGAGCTCCCTCCATTCCTGCCGAGGTGTGTGACGAGCCTCCGTACTCACAGATCGTCCCCGCGTTCCAATCTCATCCTTTTTCTTGTCGGACGTCAGGTGTTCTAACATGGTGCTTGGTCGTAACCGCTTCTTACGAGAAGAGGATGCCATGTCGCGGTACGCGCCACAACATTCAAGTGCAATGTGTAGTTTCTGTGGGACAAGATTTGAATGCGTGGGTCACAATGCCGCAATGTGTTTTGGTCGGAACCTATCGCTGGCGTGAGTGCATTCTTTCGATGATCGTGACTTATCGCATCCAAAACTATCGGCGATTGTCTCGCAATAATACGTATAAGAACTGTTGAGGAAACATTGCCCAGATTTGTGAAATTTCACATTAAATGGACGGACATGAACAAGCATGCATCATAAATCCCTGATCAAATCCCTGATCCCTAAAAGAACGTGGTGACGCGTAGCAAAGCACATTGGACGCATATGGAAACTTGCAGCAAGTCAGCATGAGCTGGATCCAAACAGTCGTATCAGACCAAATAAACCATATGTACTGATTTCTTTAAAATCAACTTCTTTAGCAGAATATCATACAATCTGAGCAAGCCCGAAAACGCACAATGGATCGCATAACACGTGGGTTGTGTCATTCACTCGCCCGCAAAAGTGCATTTAATTTCGCATTGCACGCCATTCTTCCCGTTCCACTTTTGAGTCGATCTCACGGAATCATCAGCCTCTTTTCAGTGCGCCAGGTGCATCGTAATGCATTTTCAGGTGGGTGTGACTCGTTGTTTCTATCCGCCAGATATGTCACGGTGCGCCGAGTCTTCCAGCTCCTCCTGCCAGGTGTCTCCTGACGTCAGGTCAAGGTCATTCTCCGTCAAACGCACCAAACGGAAGAGGTCAGTGCGCAGACTAACATTCGGGCGCTGATGACACCCATCACTGACAGTGATGAAAACATTTCTTTTGAGAATAGTCATGTGCCGTTGCGATGCGACGGCTCCGTCAATGGTGAGATGAGGTAACTGCTGTCAGAGGTAAGTAGCCTCGTTTGCCGCCGCTGAGGTGACTGGTCAGTATAGCACAGCCGACCGTATCTGGTCCAGGTCATTAGGCCGGCCGGCACCGATTGCGTGACCCCGGTGATAGCCGCGGTGGCGACATCGTGGTCCGCCCAGCCGAACCAGGGCATCAGGACCACTCGAACACGGAGTCGGGATCCAGGTCGCCCCAGTGAATTAGGAGGTATCGTGCTGACGTCATCGTGGACGTGGCGGTGGCGTCCTGAAATGCAGTCCGTTCACACCCGAACCTTGGTTCCTCGAGGTGTCTGCCGAATCTCCTTCGAATCCCTAGAACCCAAAGTTTGCATGCGCAGGGAGGGCCGTTCCTCGCGGTGTACCAAGCCGTAACCCTTGGCAATTGTAATCATGGCCTCCACCCACTCCCCACATTGCCCAGCTCGCTTCCGTATCCGATGTCGCTCCAGTGTGGGGACGCCGTGCCGCCCGCGCTGGCTCGGCGCCAGATGCGCAGTTGCTGCATTCACCACGCGCCCCACATCACCAGAGCGCTGGCCAGTGGACGCAAGCGGGCCGCCACCAGCGAGCTTCGCCAGCACGTGCGCGTGGTGGTTGAAGACGCGGTGCCGCCGTTCAGGGCTGAGCTGTCGGTCTCTGGTGTGGTCGATGCCAGTGTCCCGGTCTGGTGGGCGGCGTGTCCAGGATGTTCCACTGTCCGCCACGTCACATCTACTGCTTGCCAGCCCGGACACCGGCGTTCCACCCTGCCTTTGAAACCGTGCCGGGCGCGTGGGATAACTGAGCAGCAGTCACGCTGTGCTAAAGGGCTTTGCGGTGTTAAAGCGTTGGCGCTCGCCGTTAACAAGAAGTCGGATGTCCGCCTCCGTGGCTCAGTCGGTTAGAACGCCTACCTCCCAACCCACCCGTGGGAGGAGAGGGGGGGGGGGGGGGTCAGTGGAGCGGACCGTGCCGAGCACCGCGGCACGTTACACTTTCGCCACACAATGCCGTTGCCGTTGCTCTGGAATTTCGCAATCGGATGGTAGGGCTAAATCGCATACAAGCGCTGCTCGTCTCAGCGCTGGTCCCAGAAATCGATTCCAATCAAAAAGTTGTGAATATTAATAAAGGAATGAAACGTGACCGGTGGCGCGGCGCGGGCCGGCCACGGAGAGCTGCCGAGGTTCCGGTTTGGCACGCGTACTATCGCTCCGCGCGACCGCCAGCAATATGCACAGCGATGTGCAAGGCCGCGTGGGCTCACAACCTGCTGCTGAAACTGTCCACGTGGCCAGTGATGTGCAACGCCATCCCGTCGCCCCGGACGGGAGAACGCTGCGGGTGCTCTTGTCTGACCGCGAGGACCGGACAGTGGCGTTGGTACTCCGTCATACCGCGAGGAATTGATAGTGGCGTTGCTTCTTTGTCATGCCCTCCTGTCTTCTCAATACATCATGCATGCTGTTCTGTTTCCGATCTCCCCGCTGGGATCGGACAATGGATCTCTGGGATCGGACCATCTGACGACGGGACCCATTCACGTAATTTGAAATGCGGACCCCAAGTTCTGTTCGCCCACGACAGCAATGTCGCACGTACACGTACTACGCAAGTTGCATGGCGTGGTATCCCACTTATCGTGTTCGTTATGACCTTAATCTGTTCACTGACCGGTCGTCACATTTCCAAGGGTACAAAGACGCCACGTTTTCGGTAAGCTTTGAAGAAATTGTGTAACACGCTAGTGACCCATGATTTTCCACTTTTTTGTAATCGATGCATTTCAACGTCTGCGTCGATGGACGCTCCTGGAATCATCAGAATCTATCCATAGTCTCCCAGGAGCCATCAGCAATGCACCTATACTCCCATGGTTGCGCATCAGGTTGCGCATCAAATGCATATGCAATGAACTGGATGGCTCCGCATCTCATGTAATGCAACTCCATCGATTGCGCTGCAGTCGCAAGAACGTCCGGTCATGCAGGATATCTTCATCAAGAGACTGTCACATGCGTTATGGCTGAGCATCTATAACACCGGCTTGTAGCGTGTGCCATGGACGCCATATCGAGCCCTATGTCTGCCTCTCTTTCGCTACAAATGAAGCAACACCAGGTGTTCAAGCCGCCAGATTTACTGCGCGCTATACCAGCACCCGATGACTGCCGTTTATCACTTAGCCGTTTCCTCACTGGGCCGTTAGGGGCCGCTCACGATATTCATCTGGAGCGCCCGGCCAGCTCTGGCCGACAAGTCCGGGGCGGTGTCGGTTACGAGGCGCGAGCAGCGCGGCGGCGGTGGTAGCGCCTCGGTCCACTGATCTCCACTCCCGGCCTCTCGCTGGGCGGCGATCTTCCGGCCGTCCAGTCCGGGACGGACGGTCCGAGACGGATGGCAGTCCGGCAGTCCAATCAGTCCGGCAGTGCGGTCAGTCAGGCGCTGCGGGACGGCCGGCGCCCGCGTCTCGCATGGCCCGTGCGTGGCCTCCGTGACGCGCCCCACACGACTCACGGCGGTGACCTCCGCCCGCAGCGGTTGCGCCGCCCGGCCGGCACGAGCGGGTCTGAGACGGGGCGCCGGCACCACGTCAGCACGAGCGGGGCTGAGACGGGGCGCCGGCACCACGTCGGAGCACGAGCGGTCTGAGACGGGGCGCCGGCACCACGTCCGAGCACGAGCGAGTTTGAGACGGGGCGCCGGCACCACGTCCGAGCACGAGCGGGTCTGAGGCGGGGCGCCGGCACCAGTCCGACACGAGCGGGTCTGAGGCGGCTGGCACCACTCCGAGCACGAGCGGGTTGGGACGGGGCGCCGGCACCACCGTCCGAGCACGAGCGGGTCTGAGGCGGGGCCGGCACCACGTCCGAGCACGAGCGGGTCTGAGACGGGGCGCCGGCGACACGTCCGAGCGCGGGCAGGTCTGAGGCGGGGCGCCGGCGCCACATCCGAACACGAGCGGGTCTGAGGCGGGGCGCCGGCACCACGTCCGAGCACGAGTGGGTCTGAGGCGGGGCGCCGGCGCCACGTCCGAGCGCGGGGCGCCGCCGCCTGACAGAGCGGCGCGCCGACGCCACCGTGTCGGCTCAGCCAGCGGGGCGGTGCGTGGGAGTACGCCGCCGCCGCGTGGGCCTTCGGCAGGTGGCCGTGCGTGACAGACGGGATTGGCTCTCTGCGGGGCACCGGCAGGTGACGCCGCTCCACTGCCGGGCGACCGCGCTCCCTCTCTCGCCCGCGCTCACGGCTCGCCGGCGCCGCCGGTGGACGGGGTGTGATCGGCCGTCGGAGCTGCGGCGTCCCGTCACGCCGGGCCCGACGCCGTTGCCCAACGGGCGGTCGCGGCTCGGCGGCCGCCGCCGGACCGATGGCTGGGAATTCCGGCAGTAAACGCTGCTGTCGCGTGTGTGACCCGACCGTCCCGCCAACTCGGCCGCCGCCGCCCCACACAACCCCCACTCCTGCTGCGACGTGACGACAGATCGGCGCACCTCGAGCAGCAGGGAGGGGGGGGGGGGGAGGGCTGGAGGCGGGATGGTGTCCGCTGGTAACGAGGCTGCGAACTGAGAACGGTTATCTGCCGACAGCAACTCGACTGGTCAGACTCGTCGTGATCGAAACGGCTTGCTCTTGTGTTTTGACTTGCACTCAAGCTCACCCGTTTTTAATACGATACCCCACTTTTCCTATGTAGACAGCTGATGTTTTTGCACTTTCGGTTTTTGCGTTTGTCTTGTTCCAGAAGCTGGCCACAGACGCCGCCGCGAAACGCACGAAATCGGCCCCTGCGGGGGCAATTAATTTGATTATAGTAGAGCTAGCCGCCTGAGTGGCACCCAATGGATTGTTGGGTTGATGCTGCAATTTGTTAGATGTGCAAACAGCCCGATGGTGAATTTAATAGCCCATGCTCCGGGGTACAGCGGTGTTCTGTAGTTATGTTCACTGAAGCGGGGCGAACGGCGTGTTTTGAGCCACTTAATTCCACTTGCAACGCCCACCCATGCCGCTCAGATGAGTTCCCTGGGGGACCTGTTACTAAATTTGATGGTCTCGTTTTTGTCCACTTTTTCATTTTCTCGGACTCGCACCTGTCACGCGACCTGGCTTGACGTCAAAAGAGCTCCCTGAAATTGTGTTATCCTCATTACAGTGGTTGATTGTGGGACAATTACTAAGGTAACAGTCATTGATGATGGTTGTTTCGTGCGCAGATGATGGTTGTTTCGTGCGCAGCATTTCCGTTTGTGTAAGATCGATGCATGGTTCAATGTCATGGAACCGAAACCCTTCACCTGACAGCAATAGTCAAAACTTGCTTTTCCGTCCTGGGCGCGATGACAGTTTGAAATCAGATAACTGCTCTGTTTCCATACTGATTGATTAATTGTGAGTGAAAAACACCCTGAAAGCGTGGTTGTTTTAAGCGTGATAGACATCATCAGCTGAGAGGTGTTCGCGTTTCCACCAGCTGACTGCACCGCACATGGCCACTTCCGCCCTGTTTTTCTGATGTGTGATTGTGTGGGCCAGTGTGATGCATCGGTTACGACACAGTATTATGGAGTCACGCTGTTCTGTGAGCGGAATGATAAATTACGTTACGCATCATCTGCTGCCATTTTCTCGACATTTTATGCTGCTTTTCCCATGGCGTCTGGCTTTTTAATAGATAGTTTAGTGCAGTACTTTAACTGCAGGGAAATTACGACACCTCAATATTAACTCACCGCAAAAAGTTGTGTACGTACACGATACACCAGGTCAACATTCCCCTCGGAGTTTCATTTTCACTCGCTATCCGGCGATCTTCCCGTAAGACATCTCGCCTGCTATTCGCCGTCACATACTGAAACGATCCCCGTGCGTGCAAATCTCCAGCCCTTCTCCTCTAATTACGTCAGCACCTTTCGCTCCTGGCCCGTCGCCCTCGGGACGTGTCGTCGTGTCGGTGCCAACCTGTTCGTGACGTCACGGAGCCCTCAGAGACGCTCTCCCGCCCGCGGCCGCGCTCCGTCTCGATGCGGCTGATTGGACCCTGTTGGACCCGCCCAGGGTCAGAGGTCACGCCGCCGCGGGCGATGGCTCAATTGGCGTGGCGCGCGCGCGCTTTTGACAGCCGACTCCAGCTATTGTGACACTCGCGGAGAGCTACTACGCACGCCGGCTGAAGCTGGGTTATGGCCAATTTAAGTGTCATTTTGGCCTAAACGCAGCCTGCACTAAAGCTCTCCCGATGCCTGACGATGACGTGGTGACGAAACGGGCCAACCCGGTGTAGTCGCTTGAGAAGTGCTCTGCTCCAGGCTGTGTGATCGAGCATTTGCACATCTTCCATCTTGGATTGTATCTTTGCTGTGCAGTGACAGTACCAACAATGGATCTGAACTTCGTGGGTCAGGACTGTAAGGCTCGCGCGCGGCTGGTGATTTTGGCGTTGTGATGGAAATAGGTATAGTACACACGCTGGGACTCACAACAGATGAGGTAAACCAGTGAGCATTACGATAGTGAAGAGCGGCTCCTCGTCAGCCGCCATCCTCGCCATGACCCCCGCCCTGACCACCCTTCACAACAGTCAGACCCGGATCTGTTGTCCTCTCTCCAGTGACCCCGTCCCCCGAGCCGAACGCTGACAGCCGCGACTGCTTCTCATCATCCGTCACTGCGCTGTATGGAGGCCCTCCAGATCACCCCCATATCGGTACAGGAGTGAAGTAACGGCCGTGGTCGGTCACGTGTCCACTCTAGGCTACCAACCTGCCGGCCCGAGCCCGTTCACAGTGACAGCCGTGGTCGGTCCACGTGCATCTCTGCGCGGCCTGCGCCTCCCTCTCCACCTCAGTTCCGACGCGCACGCCAGCTGCGGTCAGCACCGCGACAGCCACGGTCCGCCGCCATGTCCCCGCCGATGTCCGCCGCCGCCCGCGGAGCCGGTGATTGACGGTCGTGTGTGGTCCGCAGGCGCCGCGCTCGCACGCCCGTGCTGATGCCGCCGTCACCCGAGTACGGCGCGGCCGCCGTCGGCCGCGGTCGGCCGCCCGCCGCCGCCGACGCCCGCCTGCTGCACCAGCTGCAGCTGCAGCAGGAGCTGCTGCAGCCGCGGCCGGCCGGCGACGGCGAGCTGGAGCTGCGCGCCCTAGCGCACCGCATCAAGGGCCAGGACTTCAGCATCAACGTGTGAGGCCGCTGCTGGTGGCCGCCAGCAGACAGCCGGGGTGCACGCCTCGACGTCCGTGGGCGCATCGGATGGTCCAGGACTCGACACCGGCGCCTGGGGGCACATCTGGTGAGCGGCGACTTCAGGATGGATGTCTGATGTGGCCAGCCGCAAACCAGGACGTCAACGCCAGCGTCGGCGAGATCAACAGGCAGCAGCGGATACGAGTCGGGGTGGGTCAGGACCTCAGCACCAGCTTCTGATGGCTCCGAGCCTCCAGGGCTTCGGGACTGCCGTCTGATCCAGGCTCATGCCGCGAGTCCAGGCGGGACGGACAGGGATGAAGACAGCTGGCGTCGCGACAGATGTTCCGCTTCGGCGCGCGGGAGCGTCGGTTGACTAGTCAGGCTTCAGCACCGACGTGTGATGCATTGTCTAGAAGTGTTGTAGTGCTCTGGTTTTGCACCGTGAGAACTCGAGGCTTCAAGGGACGCAAACTCGTCCCTTATTGGATGTGTTAATGTGTGACAGATGACTGCGGGCAGCGCAATCTCGTGATGATTGGACAGGTTTCCGAGTGTGGGCGGACACTAGAGCTTGTCTCCGAGTGAACACCGGCGCACGTGAGATGTTCATACTGCGCTTATTCGGTTACCAAGTGGAAATATAACGCTACTTACTCAGAGACCGGTGTGACGCTCGTGGCTTCGGAGTGGCTGTGGCTTTGGTCCTAATATAGATAGGACAGCGCCGAGTCACAGTCCAACCCATTTCGTCGTGAAAATATTCTGTCCTCATGTGGGCTTGACGGACCACGACCGGACGTGCACCACGGCGACGGAGTGGAACAAAACAGCTCGTGTGAGGTTATCACGTCTTTCTAATAACATCACCACCTGCAAACTTGGCGTCTTAGCAGATTAGCAGCGGGCACACGGATAGTTACGCTTATTACGTATTGCATCACGACGGGGGACCCTAACTTCGGCTGGCGTGGGCGAGCATTTTAGACGGGCGAAAGTATCTGGCATATGGCCAGGCCATTTATGCTACCGGCCTGCGAAGCGGCGACCGTAATGTAATGCAAAACATCTTCTATTTTAAGCTATTTTTAGACTTTTGAGGAGTTACGACGATCATAGTGGTGTATCAGTACAGCATCGCGAGTAACGATTGGTGTGGAGACTGGACAGAGTGGAGCACAATATATACATATATATATATATATATATATATATATATATATATATATATATATATATATCCTGACCAGCTACATCCACGCAAAATGTGCCTTTGAGTTGCCTGGGGTGAAAAGTCGTCCTCGTCACACCGGTAACTAAACCTATGTGTTATATCTACCAACACGCTTAGAATAGGCACTTGAGCCCAATACACTGCAGGTAATGGGATGTGCTAACGCGGGCAGCTCACTTATAATTGTACCGCTAATGATTTAGAAGGCAAGATCACCACCAATAAATGTCAATTTTGTTTGATAGAGACCTCAACTCAGACTCCTATGTTCCGTCAGTTAACAGCGAAAGATCACCACCAATAAATGTCAATTTTGTTTGATAGAGACCTCAACTCAGACTGCTCATTTTCCCTCAGTTAACAACAAACGAGAGTGACAATCGTCCTGGAATATGGGAGCAGGGTCTGAGTGAAGGAGTTAGACAATAACCTGCATCATGTACGTACTCGCCGCTTCGATCGGACGCCATCACTGGGACCCAGACGGAGTGCGCTCCATGGCTTAACTGTCAGTATTTCCGATATTAAAGCCTTTTGTATCAGTTGTCGTAGCCCTTCCCTCCTGCTGTACTGTGGGCTGATTACTACTATAATTACTCTCATTATTTGCGGTGAAACAATTATGTCGGTTTAATTCTGCCAGAAATGAGCTCGTGACTTGTAGGCAGCCTTGCTGAATAGGTATCATAGGTACCAGCTAACTCCCTACTGCATCGGGATACCAACATTCGCATTCCTTTCCTCACTTTCGTCGGAGGACTCCCAGGTGCGTCTGGTTCTGCCCCACCATCACCCACTCCCTAATCTCATAGCCCTTGATGATCACTAATGGTCGAAAGCCTCTAATAAAAAACCAGCTAAGGTCTATGACTTAAGGTTAGCGTCTTTACAGCGGCCTTGCTTTGACGAGCTCTCCAGCAGCAATTGTGTAGTGAAACACGGGGTTCGATATCAATGAGGCGTTGCATAACTTACAACAAATAAGACAAATTGATATTGGGTCCATGCCTCTCAATCGGGTCCACTTAGTGCGAGCAGGACACCCAACAAAAGGCCACTCCTTCGTCTCTAGTCCCAGAGTACGCTGTTTACCGCGTTGCAAGTCATGTAACTTTCGGTTCATGACATCCCAAACCGACCACAATTAGAAATAACCGCGCAGCCACACTTTATCCAGGCCCGTGTGAGTTTCCCAGACAAGCATCACGCTTACACAAGGCCGGAAGCCTTCTCTCCTCTGCAAGGCGCCGAGCATGCACCCCCGCGCGGGTCCATCCGCGCTCTAAAGCGCTCGTCAAATTACGCTGCCGCGTCCATAAACACGAGTGGGGTCACTTTGGCCCGCCGTTAATTGAAAACCGATGACTTCACCGTCAGCCGAAATGGCCGCTGGCGGGCAAATGGCGCGTGAGCAGCGGCACTGGGCCGGCTCGGAGGAGCGCAACTCGCCGCTGCCGCACTGAAAGGCTAGGGCGGCGCTGCCGGCCTGGTGCCGCTAAACTGCTCTCTGCGGCCGACGGGAGTTGCTGACTAACGCTTTTAGTCACGCGCTGAGGCTTGCTAGTTGCATGATGCAACGTTCCACGTGCGTGCTTCACACGGGTAATCGGTAGCTGGCAAACTTTGGTGTGTGGCTTTTTTGCTTTTATTACAAAATTACTTTGTACAGGAGTAAATATGACATAAAAATTAAACGCACGTGATACCTATTTGAGCGGGCAATCAGCTGATCTTTATCGTCGAATTAGACAACACGGAACCTAGATATCGTTTCATGAACGACGCCTGAGCGTATCACACTGGACCGTCACAAACAGCATATGAATACATGACCCCCGCTACAAATAAACAACACGCACGTGGAGGTCACGGGACGACTGGTCCGACCAGCGGACGATTTCGACCCCGCGCTCCGGTCAACAACAGCACAGTATCACAGCATGGGAATTCGCGCTCCTTAACCTAATGACTTAGTCTAAGTGAGCTGACTCGTCTGTCGATGGCTGGGTGGACTCCACTGCTCCGGTGGCCTAGTACTGGCTGCGTGGCGGCTCCGGGTACCCCTGCTGCTCGCACTTGGTCACCGTCTGGTAGCGCTTCTGGGTGCGGGTCACCGCCACCGTCTGGTACTGCTTCTGCGTGATCGTGTTGGTGATGTACTGCAGCTGGGGCACGTTCTGCGTCTTGGTCTGCACCACGTTGTACTGGTTGGTGGCGTACTGGGTCTGGTACTGCGTCTGGTACTCGGTGGCTACGGAGGTCTGGATCTGCAACCAGGCGGAGCGTTAGAACATGAACGTTTTGAGCGGGCACTCGGAGCTTTTCAGCGCGCGTCGATCATCAACATGTGCTAGTGACACTCAGCAGGACCGCAATCGAAGCCCAACTCGTGTACCGTGGAGCAAATTTCGAACATGAACCCCAGCTACAGCTATCACTCCAGATGGGCCCTTTAGCAGCCGAACACCGCAGCATACGAGAATCCTTATTCCGAACGTCAGTTCCAGACAAACGCCTGGACTCCTGACCCCCTGAGTGATCTCCTTTAACTCCGAATGCCGCGTGTTACCTCTGAGTGATCTACGCTGCCTCTGCGGGATCAGCGATCTGTGCGGTGACCCCTGTGACCCACCTGCGGCACGCGCTGCACGCTGGTTACAGTGACGGCGACGGGGTACTGCTGCGCCTGGGTCTGCGTCAGGTGGTCCGTCTCCGTCACCGTCACGTGCTCGTCCTCAGTGAAGATGAGCGTCGAAGTGATGGTGTCCACGCGCGGGATGACCACCGTGTTGGTGCGGTACGCGATCTTGGTCTCCTCCTGGTACTCGGAGCCGCCGCCGCGCGTCGTCGTCTCGAGCTGCACCACCGTGTGCGGGTAGTAGTCGGTCTCCGTCACGTACTTGTAGAGCGTGGTCGGCAGGTACTCGGTGCGCGTGTCGTACACGGTCACCGGGATCACCGCCTTGGTCCAGGTCAGGATGTACTTGGTCTGGTCACGGCACTTGCCGCCGCCGCTCAGGCCGCCGCCGAAGCCGCCGCCGAAGCCGCCGCCGAAGCCGGCTCCGAAGGAGGCATCCACGCCGCCACCGGACGGGCCGGACGGACCGCTGTAGCCGGACGGCCCGGACGGAGCCGGACCGGACGGTGCGAAACCGCCGTCGTAGCCGGTGGATGGCGCCGGCCCGCTGGGCGCGCCGTAGCCCACCTGGCGCTTCTCCACCTCCTTGGCGGTGGCCGCCACCACCAGGCACACCAGAGCAATGTGTCGCAGCATCTGAGGAGCAGCCGACAAGTCAGACACCCAGGAACAGTGTGTCAATTGAAGAACACTGGATGCGTTAAACACACGGGAGCAATGTGATGTAGCACCTGCGGAAAAGCAGACACGGTAAGGCTTCGGACAATGACGTCAGTGAAGGGACTGCTGAAGGGCTGGGAAGGCCGGCGGAATTTACATTCGGCGGTCAGCAGTGCGCGGAGAAAAATGCCCCGTGGGAGCAATGCTGTACAGACGCATTTATGCGTAATGACGGAAAATGTGTGCCCGCGTAGTTTACGATGCATGCAGACTGTGATTTGCTCGAATGTGCAGAAGGCATGAAAATTGTGCAACCTAGCTA